ATTAAATCATTTGTTAACCTAACTTTTTTGACATTTTATTATACAAAATTGAAAATATCAACAAACTTTGTCAACTTAAAATGTTAATGTCAGTTGGAAATTGTTTGACATGTCATTGTACAAAATTATAATCTTATTTGACTTATACTGTCAATATGTTATTAATTTTGATCTAAGTTTGACATAGTTACAAGTTACATGACAAAATTTGGTATCCTAACATTTTTGACACTTCATTATACAAAATTGAAAATATCAACAAACTTTATCAACTTAAAATATTGATATCATTTGGAAAATGTTTGACATGTCATTGTACAAAATTATAATCTTATTTGACATATACTGTCAATATGTCATTAATTTTGATCTAAGTTTGACATAGTTATATGTTACATGACAAAATTTGTATCCTAACATTTTTGACACTTCATTATACAAAATGACATGCATCACTTGGAAATTTCATCAATGAATTGAATTATTTGTTAACCTAACTTTTTTGACATTTCATTATACAAAATTGAAAATATCAACAAACTTTGTCAACTTAAAATATTGATATCAGTTGGAAATTGTTTGACATGTCATTGTACAAAATTATAATCTTATTTGACATATACTGTCAATAATGTCATTAATTTTGATCTAAGTTTGACATGCATCACTTGGAAATTTCATCAATGAATTGAATTATTTGTTAACCTAACTTTTTTGAAATTACATTATACAAAATTGAAAATATCAACAAACTTTGTCCACTTATAATATTGATGTCAGTTGGAAATTGTTTGACAGGTAATTGTACAAAATTATAATCTTATTTGACATATACTGTCAATAATGTCATTAATTTTGATCTAAGTTTGATATAGTTACATATTACATGACAAAAATTGTAATCCCAACATTTTTGGACTTTTCATTATATAAAATTACCATAAAATACAGATATCACCTAGAAATTCACCAATTGAATCTAAGTATGACATATTTACATGTTACATGACAAAAGTATATTAAAAAGAATATCTAAAATCATGTTGTGTTCAAATAACTTTACAAATAAAAACTAATAAATATGATAATTTGTTACGATAAATATAGAAAAGTTCTGGAATCGCGTTTCTGAGAAAGGTGTCGTTAAATCGTTTTGTGGAATTGTTAGCCCTCAAATCAGTGAAGGAC